TTTGGGAGTCTTTGGAAGTCTTTGGGAGTCTTTGGAAGTCTTTGGAAGTCTTTGGTAATTGGAAGTCTGGTGTACACATTTTTCCTGGAGATTTACCCCTCGCGATTTAGAGCAAGTGTTTTCAAGACCAGTTATCCACGAATACGCTATTGTTTCATATTGGTAAACTTTGAGATCATAAATACAATATCAACAAACAAGATAAAACATTATCATTGCACAGAATGCAAATAACAGCTAATGATGTGAAATGGTTGAATTTGTGATGTGACATCAGACAAGGGAAAAAAGTAGTAGATTTTAGCTCCAGGTTGTGTATTAAGAAAATGGATAAATATATAAAGAAATACATTGAGAATTCGCATTCTCTATGTGATGAAAATATCAATTCTTTCTCGGTTTATTCAACAGAAAACAACTACTTTCCTAGCTATATGCCACGAGGAACATTGAATTAGGTACATCTATTGAACACACACGATAAGAATTTGAAAACAAAATCTTCTGAAATTGAGAATTCGCATTCTCCTTCATATAAAGATATACACATAATAGCATGCATTCTGAATATTCAACAGAAGAAAAAACTTCTCCTCATTGCGTAATTTGCAAATGAATGAATTGACCCTAGAATATATTCAATGAAGAATGGGAAAATGGAGTAAAAATATGTGGACATATATTAAGAATCTCAATGAAATTTCCTTTCTCCTCTCATTATCCTCTCTAAAGGTACGCAGGATCTTCTTCGAACATAATAGAAATTTCCTTTGCGCTTCAAGGAATAAAAAAAAAACTATACGGCCCTTCTTATGTTGAAAAACGATGACCAGAAGTGGCACCGGTAATAGTGATATTTTTGCTCTACGTGTTTTGAGGATCATGAGTATAACATTAGAACATCATTACTTTGTAGGTTATTGATGATGTAGGGTAAATTTTTGAACGACGTTGGTATCGAACTACGTTGGGTTGGGTAATGGGTAGGGCAGGTTTTCCAGTTAAGAATGAAGCATAGGTGATATAGGGCTCGATTGGGAGCGTATTGGAATAGGTATGTACTCAGAATATTCGTATTTCAAACTGAGGAAGTTTATGTCTACTTCCGGCTTCTGTATAATAGAAATGTTCAAACTGAATGCCTCTGTATTTCACCTTCCACCAAACCATTTACTGAATTAATAATGTCGTGATGTTTGTATAGGTAGTAGGTATACCTACCACAGATTAAACTATTCAATTTATTCTGCTGAATTGCACGATGGGTAAAAAGAGCTGTCGCCGAGGTTGAAATTCAATATTCAAAACACGCTTCCGATATCGAAATCATGCAATACCAAATAAACCTTCAATTTCTCCATAGGTAGGTATACATTGCTGAATATATTCATGGACGCAAAAATAACCTATAGAGACGTCCGAAGTCCGGCTGTGAATAATAATTATTTATCGAAAGAATCTCGTTTGATGATAAAAATAAAAAACTCTATTGAATATTCAGCAAGATGAATATTTTTAAAAATAGTTGGTATTCCACTTTTGAGAAGGGGCTACTGGACTACAACAGCTGCCTTGCTATTTTTAGATCGAATCGATAAATAGGTAGGTATAAAAATAATCTGTTTTCTGGATATATTCTTCGAGAAATTTATAACTGTGATTTATAGCAATGAATTCCCAAGTTCCAGGGTGTGGTCAACTGATGCGATGGATAAAAACCTGCAACGTCTATTCGAAGAGGTATTGGTGAAATTCTATAAACAGAGATATTCAAAACCCCAATAACATTATGTTGGGGTAATTTACATACAATATACCTACGATGCAAATGTATGGAATAAATTCGTTATTTCAAAAATAGGCGACTTTTGAAAAATTCCAAAAATACGTAAGTTTCAATTTTCGAAGCTCCATCTCCATCTCATGATATATATAATGAAGAGTTGTTACGAAGTCACCGGTGTTGGCGTAATGATTTTAAATACAAAGAGGGGTCATGTGACACCTTATATTTGAAAGGTCACTGATCGACGCAATTTATTCACATCTCGTCTATTTTCACATGGTTCAATTGGTCCAAAACTAAGCCATAATGTACAGGCTGTCCTACTTCACTATCTCACTTATTTTCCAAGAAAGAAATTGCGGTTTCCACGAACGTTGGCTACTTTTTTGTGGAATTCACGATACCGCAAACAAAATGTTGCATTTGGGACTCAAATAAATTAAAATTATCTATCATTTTTTACGTAGAATCCAGTGGCGTACTTAGATTTTTAAAATGAGCATATTTAAAAAATGAAATAATTTACATGATTTTCCGTTTGGAATAACCAAGTTGCAACTTCTTCCTGATACAAGTGGCAACAATGTATTGCTGAAAATATTTGAAACGGATAGAGAACGTTCGATTGATGATGCACACCAATTTTAAGAATGATGTATGTCTTTCCGTTCTCCAGATAGGTACTTATTATAGGCCATTCACCGTAAATCACCCTGTACGTTACGTGCAGAGCCCGAAGTGTAGGGAATCCTAAGTCCGAAAAGCTTTCAAGATTCAGAAATCGACACCCTTTGTTTCGTTTGAGTTTTGGTAAAACTGATAGTCTCGTAACAATCATCATTACGTGATGTTTTGCCTCCAAATCCATAAAATATCATTACCGAACAGGAGACCGATTACCGGCTCCAGTTTTGGTACAACTTGAGTCTCAAGTCTCGTATAACAATCATAATTACGCGATGTGATGCCTACTAGTCCACCAATCCCGTTACAGAACTGGAGACCGAGGACCGGCTCCTTTTTTGGTACAACTGAAACTCTCAAGTCTCGTATAACCATTATTATTACGCGATGTGATGCCTACTAATCCACCAATCCCGTTACAGAACTGGAGACCGAGGACCAGCTCCATTTTTGGTACAACTGAAAGTCTCAAGTCTCGTATGACAATCATAATTACGCGATGTGATGCCTTTACACTGATCCACCAATCCCGTTACAGAACTGGAGACCGAGGACCGGCTCCATTTTTGGTACAACTGAAAGTCTCAAGTCTCGTATAACAATCATAATTACGCGATGTGATGTCTATATACAAATCCACCAATCCCGTTACAGAACTAGGAACCGAGGACCGGCTCCAGTTTTAGTACAACTGAAAGTCTCAAGTCTCGAATATCATCATAATTACGCGATGTGATGCCTTCTAATCCAAAAATATCGTTGCAGAACTGGAGACCGAGGACCGGCTCAAGTTTTGGTACAACTGAAAGTCTCAAGTCTTGTATAACAATCATAATTACGCGATGTGATGCCTACTGATCCACCAATCCCGTTACAGAACTGGAGACCAAGGACCGGCTCCAGTTTTGGCACAACTGAAAGTCTCAAGTCTCGAATAACAATCATAGTTACGCGATGTGATGCCAACTAATACACCAATCCCGTTACAAAACTGGAGACCGAGGATCGGCTCCAGTTTTAATACAACTGAAAGTCTCAAGTCTCGAATTACAATCATAATTATGCAATGTGATGCCTACTAATCCACCAATCACGTTATAGAACTGGAGACCAAGGACCGACTTCAGTTTTGATACAACTGAATGTTCAAGTCTCGAATGACGATCATATTTACGCGATGTGATGCCTACTGATCTACCAATGCCGTTACAGAACTGGAGACCGAGGACCGGCTCCAGTTTCGATACAACTCAAAGTCTCAAGTCTCGTATAACAATCATAATTACGCGATATGTGATGCCTACTAATCCACCAATCCCGTTACAGAACTGGAGACCGAGGACCGACTCCAGTTTTGATACAATTGAAAGTCTCAAGTCTCGTATAACAATCATAATTACGCGATGTGATGCCTACTAATCCACCAATCCCGTTACAGAACTGGAGACCGAGGACCGGCTCCAGTTTCGATACAACTGAAAGTCTCAAGTCTCGAATTACAATCATAATTATGCGATGTGATGCCTACTAATCCACCAATCACGTTATAGAACTGGAGACCGAGGACCGACTTCAGTTTTGATACAACTGAAAGTCTCAAGTCTCGTATAACAATTATAATTACGCGATGTGATGCCTACTGATCCACCAATCCCGTTACAGAACTGGAGACCGAGGACCGGCTTCAGTTTCGATACAACTGAAAGTCTCAAGTCTCGAATAACGATCATATTTACGCGATGTGATGCCTACTGATCTACCAATGCCGTTACAGAACTGGAGACCGAGGACCGGCTCCAGTTTCGATACAACTCAAAGTCTCAAGTCTCGTATAACAATCATAATTACGCGATGTGATGCCTACTAATCCACCAATCCCGTTACAGAACTGGAGACCGAGGACCGGCTCCAGTTTTGATACAATTGAAAGTCTCAAGTCTCGTATAACAATCATAATTACGCGATGTGATGCCTACTAATCCACCAATCCCGTTACAGAACTGGAGACCGAGGACCGGCTCCAGTTTCGATACAACTGAAAGTCTCAAGTCTCGAATTACAATCATAATTACGCGATGTGATGCCTACTAATCCACCAATCCCGTTATAGAACTGGAGACCGAGGACCGACTTCAGTTTTGATACAACTGAAAGTCTCAAGTCTCGTATAACAATTATAATTACGCGATGTGATGCCTACTGATCCACCAATCCCGTTACAGAACTGGAGACCGAGGACCGGCTTCAGTTTCGATACAACTGAAAGTCTCAAGTCTCGAATTACAATCATAATTACGCGATGTGATGCCTACTAATCCACCAATCACGTTATAGAACTGGAGACCGAGGACCGACTTCAGTTTTGATACAACTGAAAGTCTCAAGTCTCGTATAACAATCATCATTACGCGATCTGATACCTCCTAATCCATAAAATATAGGACCGGCTCGAGTTTTGGTACAACTGATAGTCTAGTAACAATCATAATTACGCGATGTGATGCCTACTGATCCACCAATCCCGTTACAGAACTGGAGACCGAGGACCGGCTCGAGTACAACTTCTTCCCGAACAGCTCCGGCTTCCTGCAGTTCCGCGTGCGCGCCGGCAACGATGCCCACCTGGCGCTGACCACCGCCGCCGCCGAGTCGGACCCCATGTACGAGGTGTTCATCGGCGGCTGGGGCAACTCCAAGTCCATCATCAGGAAGAACAGGACGAAGCCCGAGGTGGCCGAGGTGCCCACGCCGGGAATCCTCAACGCCAACGAGTTCAGGTGAGAGGGCGCACGCTGGTATTGTAGAGGTCACAAAGTTGTCGGCTTCTAGGACAGAACGAAATTCACACAGTCTACTATACCAAAACAATACTTTATTTATTGGAAGCAAACTTGCAGGGACATGTTTCGAAGCTTTATAGCTTCATCATCAGCGTTTTTGTTATATAGGAGCACTAAAGTGAGAGAGAAACAAAGAACGATGTCAGACAAACCCCTCAACAACGATAGGTCTAAAAAACTCACCTGTTCTGGAGGAAAAAAGTTATGTTCACATATTTGACAAAATCATTGAAAAATGTTTCAAAAAACTAATGCATGATAATGAAGCTAAATGGGGGGCCGCAATTATTGCGGAACCCCTTTGTTGGGGAACTTTGAATTTCATAATTATAAGAATAGGTATGATTCAGTTCAAAATTGAAAAAGTCTTATCTGTTCATGCCCAACTCTTAAAAAGACAAGAAAACGGAAAAATGAGATGTCAAAAATCAAACGAATGACATGACTGCCATGAAGTGACAGAGGTGACATGGAATATCAAATGGACTAGAGATGGGGGAGAGTATAATGATATCGAGCTGGGAGCAATAACAAATTTATGGTTCGTGAAACTTCAGGTCAACTTTAGGTATTGAATCAGTCCTATCAGATGGAAATGAATAATTTTTATTTTAAAGTTTTGATAAATGTGAGACAGTTGAAAAGCTTAGAACAGTCAAAATGAGTATGTTCATTGATACATGTCATTTTTTCGAGATTCTTAAAGGCCTTATGAATTTCAAAATTTTCAAGTAAGTTGAGTTTTTTACTTTTTTGACAAAAGTGTAAGAATTTAAGATTCAAATTTGGATCGATGGAATGTTTTTCATTGACTATGTATGATTAGGGAATACAGAATTGGTATTTATAAAATCTTTTTCAAAATTAATATCCATGATACGTACATGTTCTGTGATTCTAGTTCTGAATTTGCGACCTGTCTGACCAATATAACTGTATGAATTTTGTCCTGTCCTTTTGCCTTCACTCCACTGTAAGATGGATCGCCTCAGATGGTTGTCGGCTTCTACTTATTTACTGTTTGTAGGTTAATCAAGGAAGTGGAATATTCACTTCTCTAGATTTTGAGGGGTTTCCCTTCTCGTCTCCATATACTGAAATATTAGTTTGATTTCAATATACAGGATGTTATATAGTGTTATCGAAATAAATACATGTATTGAACTCAGCAATAAGTATGCTTTATTTAGTCTAAGGCTCTTGCATGCTGAACACTCATGACGTCACCCACAACACATGATATTGTTTCCTTCTTCATATTGAGAAACTACGAGTGAAGCGATAGCTGAGTGGGCTGTTTATCTGACTTCCACGGCTGTGATTGGGGTTCAACCCCTCGAGGCGTTATTTTTTTTTTCTAATTTTTTTCATTCAAGTAATTTATCAAAACTATACTTTTCAGAAAAGAGGTTCATTAAGGCCAAGTTAGATTCATAGTAGTTTCCTTTTTCATGCAGAAAAGATATTTTTTCCACCACTAGCTATAGAACCTACATTCACTCCTTTTCAAGGCGTAAAGTGTGTTATTACTACCAAGGTAGTTTTCTTCATTTTATGAAGACATAGCCACCTCTGTTATAATCAACCCGAACTCACTGTTCTGATGCGACATTCGCAGCAATGGCAGTCGAATATACTAGGCTGTCATGGTGATGTCTACTAGATTTTGATTAGAATTAAAAAGAAGTGCTTCCATAGTGACATACGGTGACATAGGTCCATATTTCAGTTTCACAGGACTATAATGAAATATATTACTATATAGTGTACAACTTGGTAGTAAAGAATATTTTGTTTATCGCTTGGAGCGCACGAAAGGGAATCCCTATAATGTTCAAAGAACATCGTGCGTTCCTAGGGAGGATAGGGACACAGGAGGTAGGTATTGGAATTTTTTTTGAATTTTTGGAGATTATATGTTGGAAATACTTCCACAGGCAATGAATTCCAGAGCCTAGCCGTTCTATGGATGAAGGAGTCTTGATAAAGTGCTGTTCGACATCTTTCGAGGTTGACAACGAATGGATGTGCTGACTGGGCTTGTCTAGTTCGTCTGATTGGTATTGCTAGTTAAGGGATGATAGCAGAGATTTCCGAAGAACATTTCCCGTGGAAGTATCGATAGAAAAGTGAAAGGTCGCCGACCTTTCTACGGTGTTCCAATGATATCAAAGAGGGAATGAGTGTGGTGTCACCCACCAGGCGAATGGCTCTTCTCTGGATGGAATCTAAGAGCATCAGCGTATGTTTTGGTGCTGAACCCCATATGTGGGAACAGTATTCTAGAACAGGCCGTATCTGCGCTTTGTAGATCATGAGAAGCTGTTGAGGTGTAAAGTAGCTTTTCGCACGGAACAAGAATCCGAGTTTTTGTGAAGCAGCTTTTGCGATGGATCTGACATGATTATCCCATGAAAGAGTGTTGCTGATGGAAACACCGAGCATAGATATGGTGGGCTTGGTGGGGATGGTGGAGCCAGACATTACAATATCGGGCATACTGAGTTCTGCCTTTCTAGAGAAAATGCAGGCTTGAGTTTTGGTGGCGTTGAATTATTACCACAGGACTTATACCACTCGACTGAAGCCTAGGGGTCCCTAGATAATAAGATATTATTTACTACCTTGATATATAAATAACTATTTCTTTATTATATCACCTTATAACCTTGAGGTTTCAAAGATTCGCTGGTATAGCTAGACGCTTGTCACTGTCATCATTATTTATTCTCTAACGTGATCTATCTTCCAGGGGCTTCTGGATCCGCTGGCAGAACGGCACCATCTCCGTGGGCAGGGAGAACGAGGTGCCGCCGTTCATGAGCTGGACAGACTACGAGCAGATCCCCATCGAGTACGTCGGCGTGTGCACCGGATGGGGGGCAAATGGCTCTTGGGTCATCGAGCCACCCAGGGGTGGCGGTGGTGGTGGCGGTAAGTTCAATAATTTACCACCAGGCGGTTTACACAGAAAAGAAGGAGGGAGAAATGTTGACAACATAAATATGGACTTGGCAACAATTCTCGAATGGGGATCCAATAACTTGGCGGATTAACCAGGTAGCAAGAGAAGCGAGCGCTTCGGGCGCCAAGATTTGAGGGGCGCAAAATCATAGTTCATGAAATAGTAACAATATCAAAAATGGTAGCATTCAAAAAGATATCTCCGCAAGTCTGAAAAGTCGGAATATAGAATATACGTAGCATGTACGATGTACGACTGCTCGAGTACCGAGCCCAGAGCGCTTCTGTTAGGATAAATATAAAACTAGAATTTTTAAGGGCACCAAGTATGAGAGGAGTTTTTCCAAATTGTGAAATCGCCCTCAGGATGCACGTAAGCACTGCTGTGACAAATTGCAGCGGTAAAAGATCCTTTTCTGTGCTGAAAAGAGTTAAAAACTATTTGCGATCCACAATGTCAGAAAAAATGATTCGAAGGCATTGCATGCCATTGAAAGCGAAATTTTTCGGAAATCAGACTTTGTGGAAATTGTAAATGAATTTGCTCATTGAATAGGAAGGAAGAAATCTTTTTGTTGATATGTCATATTGACGGCTTGTTTTGTTTCAATTGCACATTTTTTGTTATTTTTATTTTACGTTTTTTGACATGTAATGGAACAAACATCTATTTGAAAACATTTTATTTTTCTGTCAATTGTTCGGTTTTCTGATTTCATAATTCATATTCATGTTAAAAAAGACAAATAAGGCCAAGGGGGGAGGGCGCAAATTTTGGTTCAGCTTGGGGCGCAATATACCCTTGATCCTCCCCAACTTGGTAGATTTCAATGCAAACAAAACACAAGCATGCCTTTTCTCTAGAAAAGCCGATCTCACTGTGTCCAACATAAGCTTGTCAGGAGTAACCATACCTTTGACGACATCCAGATCAATTGCTAAAAGTGCATCCCAAAAACTTGGTTTTCTGTTTCGGGCCAGGAGCTATTTCACTTCCAGTTAGCTGCTTATGATCTATAAGGCCCAGATCCGACCTGTCCTGGAATACTGTTCCCATATTTGGAGTACAGCACCCAAACATACCCTTAAACTGTTGGATTCTGTCTAAAAAAGGGCAATTCGTCTCGTGGGTGATGCCTCGCTCACAAACTCACTCACTTCTCTGGAACACCGTAGAAGATTTGGCGATCTGGCTCTATTTTATAGATATTTTCATGGACGATGCTCTTCTGAAATATCAACAATGATTCCTCCCTTGGCAGTCCCCGCGAGATTAACCCGTCGAGTTAAGACTTCGCACCCCTTCGTGGTCACTTTGGAGACCTGCAGAACATTTCTTTCTAAAGACTCGTTCATCCAACGAACAGCGAGGCTCTGGAACACATTGCCAAGACAGGTGTTTCCCGAGACATATATATCCTCCAGAAATTTACAGGATATCCCTTTTCCCAGAATATAAAAAAAAACAAAGGAATGAATTCGACTGAAGCGCTCTCTGGTGTCTATGTCTATATTTTGCTGGTTTTCGATGTTATTCTTCTGTAAGCATCGAATTTATGAACCCAAGTGGTCTAGTTGTTAACGATTTTGACTGTCAGTCTTGTTGTACCAATTCCCGAATCAGGAAAAAATCTCAAACTTCCGGGAAGCTACCGTCCCATTTCCCTGCTCAGTGTAGTGGCAAAGGTGGTGGATAAGGTTTTACTCAGACTGATTGAGGCTCATGTCGAGCGTTTGGAACTGATCCCTGCTGAACAGTTCGGGTTTCGCAAGGGACATAGCACCACGTCTCAAGTGGCCCGAATTGTCCACAGGGTAAAAGAAGCCTTCAATCAGGACAAAAACACTGTGATGGTCATGATGGATGTCGAAAAGGCTTTCGACAGTCTGGCACGAGGGTTTGATGTCCAAAATATCTAAGGCTGGAGTACCTATTTTTGTCATTAGAATTATAGACTCGTATCTCAACAACAAACAAAAATCAAAGTAAAGGTGAATGACACTATCTCTGGAGATTTTCCACTCGAGGCAGGTGTTCCACAGGTGTCGTATCTGTCTCCTCTGTTGTACTCAATTCACACGTATGACTTTCCTGTGTTTAGAAGACTCCGCCTATCCGCCATTAGGAGGCAAACTAGTGCGCGAAAATTTCAATTACTTGCATCTTCAGTGGGTTCGTATTTACATTTTTACTCTCAATTTACCATCGGATCATTCTTATTTTTGAATTTAGTATATAGTTATTTTTGTAAGTAAATAGTATCAAATAGATACCTTCATTATTGTTGTGTTCGATATGGTCCGGATTTCATCAAAATTATAGAAATGACCGGTGGACACATCGAAAATCTTCATTTCCTCACTTGTCATTCATGATGAAATAAAAATAACAATACAGATGAAACATAAAAGTGTCACGAGTAGAACATACGGTATATCAGTTATTTCGAACCATGAGGGTTTTATAAACATAAAGTAAATCAAATCATCCGTTGACATTGAATTATAAAAACTGACCAAGGAACACTCATGAGAAACGTGCATATCCAATAAAATGATGTATATAAATATTGGATGTGAGGCTTCCGAAGTTAGTCTGGTCTGGGGCTACTCTTGACTTGACAAGAGCTCGTCGTATGGTCTTTATAATGTAAGTTGTTATTCAGTCTTTATATTCATTGTTGTTTATTCATAATTGTTATCGCTACCCATAATGTTTCACGCTTCATTAAATATTGTTATGTTTGAATATAGTCTCGTACTTTCAGTTACCCCAAAACTATTAGTGCCTATTCTAATATCGCCAACTATTTAGCCAAGCATTACCCCTATATAAATCGATAAGGATGGACAGTAACCATCTATTTATATTGTGTAAGACAGTTTCCATTATTTTGTATTCAATATAAGAATGTGTTTTTATATGGGGCATCTGGCCAGGATTTGCGAACGGTCCAGCATGCTAAAACTGGACTGCCTCGGTTTGATCTTCAAATGGGGCGTTCCTGGTAGTGCACACAGATAGGCATGCTAAAACCATCTGTACTCATACAAAAACTAAGTGAAAAATATTAATTCATTTTTAACAAAAATAACTCGTTTGTTGTGACATGGTGGAGGCGCCGGGCGCCTCCACCATGTCACGATATAGGAGGGTTGGTGGCTCCACCATGTCACAACAAATGGGTTGTTCCCACCATGTCACGATATAGTAGAGTGGTTAGCCCATCCATATCGATTTATAAGGGGTAAATGCTTGGCTTAATAGTTTGCGAGAGGTAATATTCAAATAGGCACTAATAGTTTAGGGGTAACTGAAAGTACGAGACTATATTCAAACATAACAATATTTAATGAAGCATGAAACATTATGGGTAGCGATAACAATTATGAATAAACAACAATGAATATAAAGACTGAATAACAACTTACATTATAAAGACCATACGACGAGCTCTTGTCAAGTCAAGAGTAGCCCCAGACCAGACTAACTTCGGAAGCCTCACATCCAATATTTATATACATCATTTATTGGATATGCACGTTTCTCATGAGTGTTCCTTGGTCAGTTTTTATAATTCAATGTCAACGGATGATTTGATTTACTTTATGTTTATAAAACCCTCATGGTTCGAAATAACTGATATACCGTATGTTCTACTCGTGACAAAAGTATATTGAACAAATAAGTGTATACTCGCTGCAGCGCAAAGTTCAGCTTTCAAATCAGCAGCGTTGCCAACGGGAAATCACTGACCTATAAACAAAAAATTGAATTTCATGTGTAGGTATTAGAATATACACAGTGATTGTGTCTATTATAATATCTGAGTATGGGATATACTGGTATTAATTGTTAATCTGTTACATAAGATCTATTTTCACGGTTTCCCATTATCCAAATAACTCCTTGGTATTAAGAATGAATTTTTGTTATTTTCTTTTTAATTCGGTTGAGCAATATCGGCGAGAGAGAAGTTGAAAGATTTTGATTTATTAGAATTTATGGAAGGTACTGTTTCAGACACACGATCTATAATGAGATTATGATAAAATCGACAACGAGAATAGACATACGTTCTAACAAGACATCAAAACATAGATACAAGACATGCTGTGCTGACGTTGATACAAATAACTGCGCCGCGCTGCCTCAATTAACTTTTATGCGCTTGTTTACCTATTAATCTCTTCCATTAAATTTGTTTATAGGTCAGTGATTGAAATGTGTAATCAATTTACACTAAGCATCTGAAATCCCCACATATTTCGGGCTCAAATTTGAAAATCCTCATCATGAAATTATTCATGGCAACAATAATTCCCATAGTTGTGGGTAAAACAAAGTGGGTATAGCTAGGGCACGAAAAACAAAGTTAACTAATATAGGAGTAGAAAAGATGATTTAATTTCTCCATGCCTTTCAAGAAATAAGATGCCATATAAAGTTTGATTTGTGTTCTTGGTAGATACTTCATTAGAGAAAACGTCATGAAACTGACGTCTTATTTTACCGTTCTAAGTGACGTGCACTCGACATCGAGATGATGACGTGATTATTACGTCATAGTAAGTACGTCATAGTGTCGTCATATATTAGTGTGTGACGTCTCTGACGAAAAATCACCAATTAGGGACGTCACAATGACTTGATCATTCGTCATCTGGTTGCCTGGGTTATATCGGTCCAAATTTCATATCGCACAACTAAGTGCTAGCATTTCAAAACGATGTGCGTATATTTTCCGAAATTGTTTCTTGAGAATAAATATGTTGATGATCCACCAATTCTTTCCAGGCTTCGGCTACCCCTCAGCGCCCTCTAACCTAACGGCCCCATCCAGGATGTCCTCCGTCTGTTGGGCCCCAGGCCGCGGCGGGGCCGTCCCCCCCAGAGCCTTCACCGGCGGTGAAGACAACGGCGAGCCTATCTACGTCGTCAGAGCCCAGCTGAACGGAGGCCTCATCCCCGGCAAGCTGGTGCCCAGCCACGGTGTCTGCTACGTGCCGTGGGGCGGCCAGGAGAACGCTGTGGCCGAGTACGAGGTGCTGTGCGACTTCCCCGGGCAGTGGATCGCCTGCTCGGGCGGCAACATACCGCCCAACGCGCTCACCGCGGGCCAGAGCGAGGACGGAGAGCCGTTGTATGTGGGCAGGGTTGTGCATGATGGAGCGCTGACTGTGGGCAAGGTGCAGCCTGGGCACGGGGTGTGCTACATCCCGTACGGGGGGCAGGAGCTGTCCTTCCCTGACTACGAGATCTTGGTGCAGTAGGTTGAGCTGGAGTTCGTTGCTTTGGATGTGCTGCCTAGGATGTGTATCCAACATAATTGTATATTCGAAAGTAGAGCACTATTATAGCTTGTCTAGGTGCCTTCTTATTATAAAGGGATTTATATTACTGAAAGATATATAATATTCTATCGTTGTGTATTTTTATTTATTTTATTTGAATGACAGCTAAGTTGTAATAGTTTTTTTTTCTTGTTCATTGCACTATTTTTCTATGTCTGTTCTAGATTAATAAATTTTTATTCTATTCATTAATCATTGTTTTATTTGGGCAACCAATTTGATTGGTATTCCACATATATTTCTAACATACCTCAAGAATTCAAAATTATTAAAGAGGAATGAGACCCAGACAGTGGGCAAGGTGTTCTGCTGTTGAAGATAAATAAACTTCCAATCTTTACTAATCTATAGAAGCCTGAATGACACTGCGTGCATTTTATTACACAAAATGTATTGATATACATACGATTATTAAGATTGAAACTCTAATCAACCACTTATTGACATAATAGAACTCGACAAGCGCAGTCAACACTTCCTCTCATAGTCAATCTTGAAATAGTTCGAGCAGCACTGTATCAAAACTCGTTTCTCTATAGAACGGGAAAGCTCTGGAATTCATTGCCTGAGAAAATATTCCCAAGAACTTATCTCCGGAAGTTCAGAATGATACCCAACACCTACCTCCTCTCCCTATCCTCCCTAGGTACGCAGGATGTTAATCAATAGGGATTTTATTTCGTGCACCAAGTGGTAAAAAAATTAAAATGCCCTGTTTCAAGTTTGAGTCTTGTTTCCTGTACAAAAAAATGCGTAGTGTCCATTTATCTTGGTGAATACTTATGATCATTCTGCTTTCAGCTAGTTTTTGTTATCAATTCACGAAAATTACAATTCTGCTTGAAATATGTTGAAATCGAATGTTGCAATATTTCATTTCCACAGCCCCCATCAAAAATGTATATGTTGTGACGTCCCTAAATGCGAGACAAAACACAAATCAATTTTTCTCAATGAAATTCCCGTTTTTTTTTTTGTATTTTTATCGAGAGTTATATACAGTGTGGCCCACTTCTAATGGAATCACCCCTGTATCTTACGTAATCATTGGCTGAGGATCCTGAAATTTGCTGGCGCGAGAGATATATCAAAAATGCACTCTATGACCAAGTGGGGTCATCTTCAGTGATATACACATCTCGCCGTCAAAAGCCATGGAACTACCCCAATTTTCGGAAAATGATATTAGGAGTCAAAATAGGTAAAAAATTACTTCAGATTCAGAATCACGACGCCCAATTCACCAACTGTTCATATTTTTCCTGGAAAATTTTCAGTTCTGAAAAATTAAATTTTGTCGCACTTTTCACGGGAGCACCCCCGAATCTTACGTAATTGGCTTTATCTTTGGACATGCCCTTCCTTCTGCAAATTTCAGAACCCTACCTCAATAATTACGTGAGATACGGGTGCTTCCATGAGAGGTGAGACAAAATTAAATTTTTCTGAACTGAAATTTTTCTAAGAAAACTATGGATAGTGAATTGGGCGTCCAGATTCCGAATCCGAAGTAATTTCCAACCTATTTTGACTCCTAATATCATATTCCGGAAATTGGGGTGGTTCCATGGCTGTTGGCGAGCAGTGTATATTACTAAAGATGATCCCACTCGGTCATAGAGTGCATTTTGGGAATATCTCTCGACCGGGTACCCGGTACCGGCCGGGTACTCGGTACCCGGCTTCGCTTTGGATACCCGGCCGGGTATTTTTTCCGGAATAAACAGTGGTCAAGACAAAAACTAAAAGGCTCGAGAACAGAAATATATTAATAACACAAATAACATTCTCACTAGAACCCAAAACAAAAAATCGTGATAAAACTAATATTCAAAATAAAGGAGTGGTAACTTGTGCCCCTGATTATGCATGGTTTTTATTGATGTTTCAAAGAATAACGTTCGTCGGCATTGTGGCTTATTAGTGCAATATAGATATTAGGAGATAGATATGATGGAATATAGAAACTACACGACAGCTTCAATGCACTTATTTGGTTGATAATACCCGGCCGCCAAGTATCCGTTACCCGGCCTACCTTTAAAATCGGGTACCCGATACCCGGCTTTTTCAGAAAACAGTTCCCGGTGCATCCCTAATCCTTACCCAACGATTACGTAAGATACAGGGTGTTTCCATTAGAAGTTGGTCACATTGTATAAGGTGCAACCTGGGCACGGGGTGTGCTAAATCCCGTACGGGAGCAGGAGCTGCCTTTCCCTGACTATGAGATCTTGGTGCAGTAGAATGGAGGGCTGGAGGTTGATGCTTTGAATGTGCTGCCTAGGGATCGTATAGGTACCTATCCAAAATAATTGTATATTTGATGGAAGTAGAGCACTATTATGGCTTGTCTAGGTGCCTTCTTGTACCTTATTATAAAGGGATTTATATTACTGAAAGATATATAATATTCTATCGTTGTGTATTTTTATTTATTTTATTTGAATGACAACTAAGTTGTGATCGTTTTTTTTTTGTTCATTGCAGATGAATAAATTTTTATTCTATTCATTAATCATGTTTTATTTGGGTAACCAGTTTGATTGGACTTTCTCATATATTATTTGAGAACATATATTCATAGAACTTTCGAAGTAAGTATTATTCGAGGTACCTCAAGAATTCGAAATTATTAAGAGGAATCAGACTCAGATGGTACCTATTCTGTTGTAGATGAATGAAATCCTATCCACTATGAACCTTAAAGGTCGAATAACACTATAGTTGCGTTCTATTTATCCGATTCCGCCACCGGAATCAGTTTGATGTGTCGGTTTATTCGCAACTTTTCCGATTCCCGTTGCTACTTTCCAATCCATCTCTTTACATGACTGTTGACAGGTGTCGAAAAATCAAAATATATTGACAAAAAATGAAATTTTTTGGAAGTAAAAGACATTGAGAAGACATTTTCAGCGTGAGTTTCATTAGTTCATGATTCTTCCAAGTAAGACAGGTTTCATATGTTCATTCCCAAATAGAATAAACCCTATTGATCTCAAAGAAGTTTCTTCAATCACCACAATCACTGTTCCAAATATTAGTTGATTCATTTTCTAGATTCTTAACTCTAGTATTATGCTTTTGAAATTATTTGGATCTCCCATATACAAATATAACCTCCTATGTAAATTCTCTCAAGCAATGTTATGAAGTTTCTCGTTTTATTTGTAAACGTCATTCTGTTCCCACCACCGCTACCAGAATGGAACAAATTAAACCCAACTACTATGCACGAATTTTACTACACAAAATTGGGTACAATAATCAATATTGCAACTCAATACAACCGTTCAAAATATTTCACAAGAACATGCATAATGCATAGTTTCATAGTGGTCATACGACTATGTCATGACGTGTGAAATAGTTATTCCCTATCGCTTACTTTTGAGTTGGATTAATTATTTCTTTACTTGGTTAATTCTAATTGTTCATCATCTGCTTTCAGCTGGTTTGTTATATGGGTTGAGAATAGTGGAAGGGTAGTTGATTTTATGGACCAACTTATCCAGGCAATGAGTTTAAAATTAAATTCATTCTCGAAAATTATACGATCATGCTTGATTTTTTTAATTACTGCTCGTGTAAGTCAGACCACTCCTATATTATCGTTATTCCTTACCTATGGAAAAAATTTTGAAATCGAATGTTGCAATACTAGGTATGTCCGTTACCACCGATACAACAAGGCCTGCATGCTCCGTGGGTGACGTCACTTAGTAAGGCCTAACCAGTAACCAGCGGCTCGAAACGACAAGCGCTTATAGCGCTATAAGGCGACCGCGTATTTCGATTTTAGTTTTAAATCATCATTGAGCCGATTTTGCTGTTTTTGAAGGGCTTCCGGTTAAAAAGGGATGCCAGTCGTCAACTGAGCCCTTCTTCGCACCCCATTCGATTTTATTATGGAAAAACGAAGTTTTAAAGCAAAAACCAGGATAAAACACAAATATCCACCTACAGCAACCCATTCGAATTAAATATATATTGGCAAAAATTGTGAAGGTAAACTTCACACCTACTTATACAGGGCCCGCAGAACATAAACTTATCGTGAGATTGATCGAAAGAAAATTGTGGAAAATGTATTTTATTTTGATTGACATGCCATTTGTTACAATTACCTATATTTATCTTGGAGAATTCCTATTACCTGAAAAAATAACCAGTGAGTGTTTTCAATTTTCTGTTTTTGGATTTTTCACCCAAGTGGATCGTTACACTTGAAAGCGTAATTTTTAAGAGTAAAACTGCATTTATCATGCGATGGTTTTTTTTTTGAAATTTTTTTTCGGTACTCACGTGTTTTTGTCTGATAAACCGAATTTTATAATGAAAATGTGAACAAACCACTATTTATTGAGATATTTCAAGAAAAAGTTCGAAATTTCGCCTTCTTTCTCCCCTTGGGTTGGGGGCATTTGAAGCTACTTGCTCTTATTTTATCATTGGACACTATATACTTACTCATGATGTACTTCGATGGCACATTTTTATATAGAAAATTCAACAGGAAATATGATTTTGATGGCGAGTTTTTCATATTTAGTGAACAGGCATTCCAGATGACGACCATTCAATCAATAGTCAATCAAAATACGAGATGTCAAATGTCAATAGATTGCTTTCGAATGACATTACACACGCCATTATCTTGAATGATATTCTTCCTTCTTTTCACTAAATATGGATTAATCTAAAGGAAATCATATTTATAGTTGAATTATATATAAATTGTCCAATATGATGAAAAAAGAAGGGAAATTTGTTCTAAATGCCATCCAGAAGACAGGTGAAAAAGAAGGTGAAATTTGGAACTTTTTAGTCAAATATCTTCATGATAAATATCATGATAAATGCAGTTTTACCTTTTTAAGTATAGTGTTTGTAGTTCATGTTAAAACTTCCTTATTTTTCCTCTACTTATACTTTTTATGAGAGAGTTATTGTCTTCTATTATTAATTCATCATTATGAATTAAGCTCTGTTTACTACTGAACTTAGATGGAGTAAAATCCTCGCGGTGAATTGCATATACCCACATTTTCGATAGCTCCTCGTCCAACGGGAAACTATAAAAGCATGAACTATTGAACCACCCACATAATTCCCCCGACAAAAATGAACACAAAATATTTCACAAAACAGTAATTTTTCCGCCAATTATTTTGATGAATAAACAACAAAAGAATTCGGGACCGTTTCAAAAACATACGTGAACCACCGATGAATTAACACGAACTGACGCGTTAGTCGACAAGCGATAAAATAAAACACTGGCCTATCTTGGTGACGTCACGAGCTGTTTACGTCAGAGTCTGCTGGCCTTGTTGTATCGGTGGTAACGGTATGTCACGACGAGCTTACACTATCTCTGAATTGAGAATCAGTGGGGAGAAATCCATGAAAATATGCATGCTTATATTTTAGAATACGCTCTCTTCATTTAAAATATTCTCAGCAATGCAGTGTTGCCGCTTCTATCAAAAAGTAGCTACAACTTTGTTATTCCAAATAGAATACCCTGTATTCTATTGCATTTTTAGATTCTCCCTCAAGAGCAGATTTCATCGATACATCACACTTGGGGTCTATCGGAAATGATTACAGAGATATAGGGTGTTCAAAATCGAGATTTTTCAACTTTAGGATTTGTTCCTGTCGAAACTATTTATTATCGGCCAAAACGGCTCACATGTCCCTATCCCAACTTTTGATTTACTATTTACGGATATTTAATCGGAACAGATACAGGGTGATCAGAATTCTGAATCTTGAACCACCCTGTATCTGTACCGATTAAATGTGAATAGTCAATCAAAAGTTGAGATTGGGACATTCGAGTCGTTTTGACCGATAATGAGAAGTTTCGACACAAAAAAATCCTTTCAGGGAGAATCTGAAAATGTGTTAAAATACAGATGTTCCATTTGAAATATTAATGTTGCTAATACTTTCTAGTAAAGGCGACAACACTGATTTCTCTGTTTTCGACCACATGACATCAGATTTAAAATTTTAAATGGAACAATCTGTGTATATATTTTGGGATTTCTATGTTTCTCCCGATGAAACGACACCAACAAACTATCATACTTGTGGTCTGAAACGATTAATTTGTCCGACGACGATTACGACAAACGTCTGAAACATGCAATAATTACCAAATTATTTAAGATTAGGGTCACCCTGTATATTTGGGCAGTCCTATATTTTTTTGTGATAGTAAAAACAATAATCATTCATATTTTACTAAAAATATAGTCATACAACTTTGAAACAAAGGATATTGAAGTACACCTGTAGTTTTTGGATTAATCGTTTGAGACCACAATAAGTGTGATAGTTTGTTGGAATCGTTTCATCGGGAGGATCAGAAAAATGTCGAAATATACAGGTTGTCCCAGTGATAATTCTGAATAATCGATGTCACGAAAAAAGTCTCAATCGTCGTAGGACACCCTGTATATTCAGTATGATATCTTCTCTATATTTATCCTCGTATGCTGCTGGAACTCCAACAGAACTTCATGAGAAAAGACAGTGCCATGCTACTTCTACCGTACTGCACGTTGTAGAAATGAAACCAGTTGTCCCTATCTTCATAACAAGCAGAGTGCATTCCAGGAGGGGGCAGTGTAATGATATTTCCCCTGAAGGGGATCTAGAACATTATCAGGAAGGCAGGAGTTCAACGATCATCCAGTAACATGCGTCCTGGATCACTTTCGAACATCCCACTGATTTTATTTTACCAGCGTATTTCTGAACACCCAATATGTGTTACGGCGACACATAACCTGACAGAAGAATCTGGAATTATCTCGAAACAATTAGAGACAGATATTGTTCTAGAAGCTTCTAGAACAAAAAAAAAAGTACGGAAGAGCATTCGAGAACGTTCGAGAAGCAAAGCCTGCCAAGCGATCTGATGTATAAGGACGGCCGGACAGCTGCCGTCAGTCATATACCGCGTGATATAAATCGTTTTACATAAATAGTAGTTATTAGTTCAATATAAATTAGTGTTCCTTTAGTTGAAAATAAATCAGTTCGAAAATAAATAGTGTCGTGTTCGCTTCTGCACCCGAATAACGTAACAATACTAAAAAATGAATTAAAATATATTCATTTCAAAACAAACACTTTCTGCGCCATTTGAAATGACCAAGCACACTGCAAAACGGCAAGGTATCAGAGAGAGATAGCTACAGTTCGGGACTAATCGTAACGGCTCCACCTTCATATCTGATTTCGAAACGCTATTGATTCGATTCCCTTCAACTTGACTCACAATATAGATTGTAAATCAAATGTGAATAATGATTCATCGATTGAAAGAGGTATGGACGGATTTCATCTCTCAGTGGTCTTGTTATTCATTGTAGACACAAGCCATACAGGCATTGACATTCATTAAAACAACCGATAACATAATAAAAACCAGTATAATCTTACACTTTCCCTGTGAATCTATAATATTTCTTATAATTTTCATACAGCATTTTGAATATTTCGGTAGAAGCAGTGGACAAAACTCGCATCAAATAGGAAACCGCATGTTGATCACAGATCGAAATAAGACTGTAGATACAATTATTCAAATGGATCTGAAAAACAAGAAAGTAAAAATTATATGGTGCGTTCCAATTTGCTCCATTCCACCCCTGTATTTTGGTGTCTCTTAGGGGCATAAAATTTTAATTGAATAGGTGCAAGTACAAAAAAGAAACAGCCTCAAACTGCTACAATACCAGAAATTGTATTATTTACAACTCCCAATACCAAAATTGATATCGAAAAAGAACTAACCTAAGAATGGAAATTTAAAAATGTATAATAATCATTTACTACTTTATCTGAGAACTTTGTTAGGAATCTACTAAAGCCTGCTATGAACTGAATGAATTTTACTGGGATCAAGCTAAATGTTTTATGTTTCAATCAATGGAGGTTCCCCAAAGGGGGCAATGGAGGCTGAGCCTCCTCAACATATCCATCTCCATACATCGAATAGTTCGATATACAAGTATAAAATATACACCGAAATAGCTAACTTCGTTTTATGGGATTTTTTCCTGATATCAAGTAGAATTTGAGATTTTGGCAGCAATGCTTTTATACTTAAAAGTATTCAGAATAGAATACAAATTTGCGACTTGGCAACATTCAACGGAAAGCAGCCTCTGACCAATGAAAATCGCCAGAATCGCGATGTTTATAAGTATATGGTGATGTCGCTGAACAAATTATCTTTAAAATGGTAATAGAAAATCAATTATCAGAATTGTATTATACACTATCGAAAATGAACTAACTTACACCATTTCTGTATATTTTTGTAGTAAGTATAAGTGATTGTTGTTATTTGGTCCGATGACCATTAGAAATATGACAATATCAGTGCCTATGGATTTCCTATACATATACAAGAACCTCATAAGTGTCGTCAGTTTTATTCGTTGAATTTTAGTACATTTCTTGACTTTCAATCATTGTTTTTGAGATATATGATATATTAAGGTGTTAGGTACCGACGTATATGTTGAAGGGGGTGCTAGATAAGATGATTATGACCATATATTTCACCATACATTCTATTATACAAAGTGTTACGATATCACCGAATTTTCCAATTTTGCCGAATTCAGAGAATAGGTCCATATAAGTTATAATAAAGTGTTCATGATACATTTTATCTGCTTGTATATTTTTTAAATTTTGTTTCATCTGTTATATCTGTCAGAGGTACACTATTTTGAAACAAACGCTTCAGATGGGTTTGAGAGGTAGGGGGGTTTATATTGACAGGCGCTGACTTCTTATTATTAGACCCCTTCAAATTGATCAAACAAGCGGTTATAGGGAAAATGGAGAAATAATCAGTAGTAATACTATGAGAACTTCAAAATATTCGGGTTATGCATCGATAACTTGTTGCATGATGATTACGAAGAGTGTCAGTTTAACAGTTGAAATAATCCGACCGCAAAGCGGGAGGAAGTATATCTAATCATTCTGTTGACACAAAACGTGTGCCACAGTGATGGTAGAAAATGAGAAGGTTATATTGCTATTGTAGTCCTACTCTTCAATTGTTTTGTCAGACTAACTCTCGAAATATACAATTTCATTTAAGATCAAAGCGATGAAAAATTTCAAAATGCATCCCGAATCTTCTAAAGTTCAGTCAACTTTTAAGAGAGCCTGAATCTGTCGAAGAACTCCCATCACGTGATATGTTGAATTTCAAATTGAGATATTACAAATCAGTGTCAGTGATTTTGGTTGGTTGAAATTCTTTTACCATGTTTGCTCTGACGATAATTTATCAGAACATAAGTGGTTTATTAAGCAGGTACAGATATTTTGTTAGTTGAATGAGTGTATTGTACTTTATGATACACTCTGACATTGCTGGAATGTGAGATTATATAAAAATCCGAAAATCCATTTGTTTTCTGTACTATAAGTGAGGTAAAATGGTTAATATCACCGGTAAATCTTAAGTTAGGATTCAAGTTGTGCATGAATTTACCATTGAAAGTCGAAAATATAACGCCCCATTCACATTTCCACAAAAATTTTAAAGAAAAAGATATAAAGTCAATTGAATCTGTCATAATGCCAATATTCTCCCAAGCGTCGCCATTTTTACAAAGTAGGTGAAATCGAGAGATTTCCAGAACTCATCCCAATCGGAAAGAATCACATCATATGAATTTCTATACAAAAACTTTGCGTCAACCAGACCATGATGAGTATGCTGGCAATGAATCCGATTTGATTTTTATGATATGTTGAAGTTTACTGGTTGACAACTGTCTATGAATAAGAAAATACCAGGGGGGTGGTGGTGCAAAGTAGGATACACTGTAGGAGTAAAAATTCTTGAAATAAGCATAAAGGTGTAGCTACCTTAACATTCGGGTATAATGTGATCTGCTCATACTGTTCCAAAATATCCACTATCAAATACATTGCAATCCTCCCCATATCCTTCTGACACAGAACCAAACTTTTGGTCAATTTCTCAAGTTGATGAGCACAGTCTGCGACACGTCTAACACCTCGTTCGTCGGCATTCGCATCTGAGTTACTCTGGCTGCAAAGCATCCTCAAGATTCTCCTGTATTGCTGGAGATATGGAGGTAACCGATCCATTATCAGCGGTTTACGATATTTCAATAGACTGGACAACATGGAAATTGATAGATTACTTGTAAATTGAAAATCAAGGCCTAGCCTGTCCAGCAATATTGTTGAATTCAAGATGAGAATGTCAATCATAGGAGGAGTGAGATGTAACTGGAATGAAAAAAAAACACGAATCAGGTTAAATATTATTGAAATAATAAGAAGTAAGTTTGCACACTAAACATGCCTTTCTTCCTTTCTCTCCGTATAGTATACTAGCTGTCCGGCCCGGATTCGCACGGTTGATGTTCCCATTAAAAAAATACATTTTTTGCAGTCGTTCTGAGCTATGCGCCTATCTACAGTAAGTACATATATTTTATTATTTCCTTTATTATTTTTGTGCTTACCTATAGCTACTATTATATACTAACACCTATTTTCATAATCTCAGAATCTTTTGTATTTTTTGTTTTACGTACTAAAAATTTAAACTCTAGCGGTCAAACCGTTTAGTAGTTGACGTACCACCAGCACCGCAATCTAACGCGTCCAATTGTATTTTAAAATCACAACAAATCTTTCCTCTTTATAATATTAGTAAAGATGATTCAAAGGAAAATCGATCAAGAACGGCAAAAAACAGATGTAATCGTGAAGTATCCAGCCATAATTCAACAACAACAAAAATCGAAATCGAGCTAGGGGTTCAAGAAAAACTTAAAGTCAAACTTCGTGTATTGTTGCCCGCTCTCCTAATTTTGTCATTGTTAGTATATATTCTTAAGATCGCAAGTGAAATTGTAGCTTACATCTACATGTGGTCTGAATTGTGGAGGATCATCATGAAAGCGACAATTTCTGATCGGACTGAAGATATGACTCATAAGTTTTGTCGGAGAATATCACCATATTATTTTGAGAAGAAATATCAATTTATTTTATTTAAAGATTCTTTTACAAAACATGGAATACCTTCCCACCGTTATTTCTAAGATTCATTTTAGGAACCAACATTTTTCCATTCTTAAGCATAATATTTTTGTACTTCAAACTATTAACTATATAAACAAATGAACAGTACTGCTTGATGGGATCTTCTAATTTATAGCGTTACAAAGTTGAAACTTTCAAGCATATATCGACAAATGCTGAACAATCAGTTGATAAGTAATAAATTGTCATGAAGTCGTTGTTTTGACAACTTTTACGGGATAATAATGGACGCAGAGGTGGAAGATTTATCATATTCAATTGTCCTAGTCCAATAAAATGGTATTTGCACGTGAAAAAAATTCAAGAAGTAGGAGATCTCTGTTTTATATCATTTTGGGGGTGCTGAATCTGAGTCTGAAGTTTGCAAACCAAATTTCCTGGAGCGTCCGAGATATTCGCAAAAAAAGCGAAATTTTAGCCCTTTTTTCAGTTTTTTGCGCGTTACTTAGAAACTATACATTTTAGCGAAAATACCACTCTACAAGAAGACGGAGTAGATAAAATTGTCTACTTATAATTGTTCTTGCTCATCAATGTAACACTAACAGGTGAGGAACTAGAGCAAGTTAAAAATAGACCAAATTTGCGTATGTTGCAAAAAATTGTGTTCTTCGTCGGTTCTCGTAGATATTTCATAATCTACGCCTTTCTTCTTTCTTGAGAAACAAACTACCCTGTCTGATGTGGAGAAGTCCTGGCCATGTGAGGTATTGCTTTTCTCAGCGTGTAACTCGATTCTTGATTTGTCACAGTACTCAATTATATTTACATCAACTTCAGGTAGAATAATGTTTTTCACCCCTGCCTCTTGTTATTCGTTAGCGGAGGAAAAAAAAGTGTCTCTCATATACCACCAGATAGAGGATGAGAGTACCGTGGAGCGAATCTGGTCTGCTCCACCTGCACCATTACCATCCCCAGAGCCGGATCCTTCAGGGAACCAGCCCCCGCCAAACAACTATGTACCGACGATTAGATTGTACGGATTAACCTTGATCTTAATCGTCTTCTATAATCCTAGACTTCTGATAAAACCTGATGGTTAAATTGTTCACCTCAGCAGGTATCAGGTTGACCTGTTCCATAGGTGATTCAGCCTTAGGCGGACTAGAAAATTACATGCATGAGCGAGCAAAGTTGTAACAAAACCATGGTTTGTTATATGGTTGGTATAGGTCAGTGATCGCGTATTTGTTCATATAAATCTAGGAAAGAATTATGCTACGTAGGTAGCAGTCAGGTGTAGTGTGGGTTGCCAATGTTTGCCATACATATCGCAAATAATAACTAGTTTTCAAAACCGATTCGATCGCCACGACGAACGGTTTTTGCGCCATGATACAATGACGAGGACAGATATGATACCAAGCGGTTCCAAATTCGTCCGACTCGCGCATGACGTCACCTTGTGAGTTAGTTGTGGCTGTGGTTGTGGCGCGCTTCAATATCAGAGCATGTGAACAATTGAAATATTTAATATTCGGATGGTTTTAAAGTTCTTGTTCATGTCTGAAACAACATTTCCAATTGAAAAAAGTAATTACAGGGTGTCTGATTATATTTTCCACCTCTCCAATGTATCCCAAATGTCGTAGAAAATAGGTTATTTGAATAAAAAAGTTCGAGATTATACTTTTACAGAATCTAAAAATGAAAATAGTACCTACTGAACACTGGCCTAGCCAGGGAGGGACATTTTCATGATTTTTCATTCTACAAAAATTGTAGAACATTATTAGCGATATTTTTCACGAAATTTCGACTTCACCACTGAAGACAGCATCCTTCAATTAGGTCAACTGCGAAATTTCATTGGAAAATCTTTGGTTGATATAACTATCATGAGAAAAGCTGGTTTTTCGACAAAGATTTCGAATATTTTCAATTCTAGATGTTATAAATCGAGAGGAATTTGTGCTCGGAATTCAAATATTCACCAGAAACCTTTTTGAATTCCTACATTTGTGTTGACTATGTTGCCATATCACAGAAATTGTCTACAATATTCATAAAAAATGGGATGTTAACAAAATTAATGCTGTTTATGACTTTATTGCCAATAAAAATTTTTCAATGAAATTTCGCAGTTGACCTAATTGAAGGATGCTGAATCTAGTGGTGAAGTCGAAACTTCATGAAAAAAATTGCTAATGATATTTTGCAATTTTCTACATGAAAAAATCATAGTATGTCCTGAAAATCGGAATTTTATTTTTCTAATATGTGTAAACGTAGATCTTCTGACATCCTTTCCGCTGAAATGGAAAAAAAATTGATCAGTTAAAAACTGTAGATTTTATGAGGGTTCTCCGGTCTTAAGTGGGTCACACTGTGTGTGTACTGTAGGTATTTATTTCATATTTTATCATGGCAAATAAAACGCTGTAAATATTGAATAATTCATTTTATTATTTTTGAAAATTTTCTTTTTTTGGAAACAGCAGCATCATGCAATTTACGATTTAATTCCCTCATCCTGAAAAACATTCGAGAACGAAGAAATAATAATTTTGCTTTTTCATCACAAATTACATGAGAACTCATCTTCACTAATTTCCTCATCACAAAAATGTTTGGAGCAAATCCGAGCAGTTTTTGAATTGAACTTGTCACTCCGTTTGCAAAGATGTTTCCATCTACCTTCCAACACTTTGTCTTTAGGGAAGCTGGAGAACTTCGTGTCAGACGAAAATCGTTGTCGACACCACATCCAAAGACAGCACACCTCATTTCAAACAAAAAACTCACTGAAAAGTACCGCAATACAACAAAAAAATGGCTCAAACCTTTTGAAAACAACAATTTCTAACCGTCCACAATGGTTGAACATGGCATTCTACTCACAACGTGACGTCAGCTGGCTGAAATTGGCCCCGCCCACTCCTGCGCGATATCATATCTGTCCTTTTTAATGTATCATGTTTTTGCGCGTTGTTTTTTTGGCCCGTATGTTTTTGCTTCTTTAGAGTAAATCGAACGACTCTGTCCAAGTAATACTTATAACACTTCCTGTCAACTGCAACTTTATGCATATGAACCTTTTTGATTTTTCCATTCAAGCTATCCTGTTTATATTAACGAATAGTGAAAAGTGGTCGCCTGGTCATTTTTAAGGTATGTTTGATTTGTTATTTTTCTTACTTATCATCGTTCTTTATGTGGTCGTGCTCATTTTATAGTGTCTATACCGGTAAATGTTCGTTGCAAATCGAATGTAAAAATATGTTAATTGGGTCATTTTTAAGGTTGTAGATGATTTTGGAATAAATGCTGTCGTCTTCTCAAAGTCTAAAAATCAGTTTGACCCACACAACCAGAGCCCTGAGATAAGTTTCATTACAAAGTATCTATTCCGCGGTTTCCGTCACGTTGTGACAAATGCCGCAAGTTTATTAAGTCTCCGCTAGGCCCATTTTTTTAGTTAGACCTCAGAAGGGAGTGTTTCAGCTCTGGTTTGCTGAGACTCAGTAATTATTGATGATCTATTTATACGTTTCAGAACTTTCAAAAGGTGTGTGGTAAATTAGACAAATCAAACAAGTGGAAAGAATGGACTTGAATGTGGCAACTACGACCAACATAAGTATCTACGTCCAGGCGCTCTGAAACATACGTTTACCTTCTCGCATATGTGAGCTTGATAAATGACAGAACAGACGGTGCTGGAATAATGACCAAAGTGAGATCTCATTAGGCTGAACTAAGTTTTTTCTGGTGTAGTCACTGAATAAACTTGGATCATATAGATTTGCTAAGAGAATGGCTGGATGGGTTATCATTAGACCAGTACAATAATTGCTCTTCAGGGATCTGGTTATCCATCCATTTTCAAGTTTCACAATGTTTACATAATAAATGTTTTGACAATTTCTGTGACGTTGTCACGTCTTGTAAGTCATGTCATATGTCAACTTCAGGATTTTTGCTTTCATTATTTCAGCACCTTATGTTTTGTCAATTATCAAGCTCAGTTCAACACGACAGTATGCATATGTTGGTTGCTTAAGAAATGTAACAAAATGTAATCCACAATTTATCTCAGTTTGAGAAACGAATTTTAATATTTTTGTACCGTAATTAGCAATAATGTATACACAACCTAACTGGACCAAAGATATTTTTTTGGAGAATTTCTTGTCAACCTGACGAGTAACTAACCTCACTTTTACTAATTTCAAATTTTAAATTTGTTAACGGCAATTTCTCTTCAAATCTAAAAGCTGTTTACTTACAGGTATGCACTGATGATGGCTTTATAGCTGAAAGCGCTCTGATGATATTTTGAATTAACTATTTTGCACGACATACAAGATTTGTACAATTATTTGTATATTCCACTTTCATACAGCTTCTACCTTACACTTGCTGAGGTGGAAAACTTAACCGTCAAGAAAATTCTAGGTTTCATCAGAAGTCTGGGGTTATAGATGACCATTAGATGAGGGTAATCCCTACAAACTACAAACTAATCGTTGCTACATGGTCGTTCAGCTGGGGGCTGGTACCCTGAAGGATCCAGTTCTGGGGATGGTGCAGGTGGAGCAGATCGTGTTCGCTCCACGGTACTCTCATCCTCTATCTGGGCCGCGAATCTTGACGGTGATATAGATAGACAGATTGTAGATGGGTCGTATAGGCTGGGAGACCTCTCGATCACTGCGACCTAGAAGATCTATTGTGATTACCCTTATCTAGTTTTGGTCCTCTAACCCTAGACTTCTGATGAAGCCTAGAATTTTCCTGACGGTTGAATTTTCCACCTCAGAAGGGGTGAGCTAGACATGTTCTTCACATGAGCAAAGTATGTGTTCCGCGGTTTCGGTCGCATTGTTACAAAAGCGGCAAGTGTCTGTCTCCGCCAGGCCCATCTTTTTGAGGTGGTACCTCAGAGGGCCGTGTCCTGTGAAAAAACCTGTGATAAGCTTTAGCTCTGGTTTGCTGAGGCTGAGTAGCTCTTTGGCTCAGTTCTGCGAATTGTTGATGAACCTTTTCGCTTGTCGTTGACCTGGAGTTGCTCTCCAGTAGGAGGACTTCTCAATTTCTTCCTATTTCCTGAGTTCTTCCTTTAGGTGACATTTGCTTATCCCCAAAAAGTGCAGATGCTTCACCTTTTTTTGCAAGGCGATCAGCTGCCTCATTTCCTTTGATTCCTTCATGCCCTGGAACCCACATACGTGTGACTTTGTTGTCCTTTCCCAGTTGCATGAGTGTTTCAAAGCAGTCCCATGTGATCTTTGATGTGAAAACAAATGATTTTACGGCTTTTAGTGCGGCTTGGCTGTCTGAGCAGATATATATGTTGGCACCCCTCAGACCTTTGCTCAGGCACCTTTGGGCGCAAAGGTTAATGGCATGTATTTCAGCTTGGAAGATAGTGGGGAAGTGACCTAAGGCTTCAAATAGCCTACATCCTGGTCCATATACACCCGCGCCTACCCCTTCTTCCATTTTCGAACCGTCGGTGTACCAAACAAAGGACCCTCTGTCCAGCTGAGGCTCAGCGGAACCGTACCTAGGGCAGCTTTTTATAACCACTTCAAAGGTATGATCGAAACTGAGCCTGGCTGGCATTATGTCCGATGGTTTGGTTGCAAATTCCATTTGTACTTCTTGTAGAATGACCATGTGACTAGTGACACCACCTGGTCTGGCCAATTCAGTGGAGTTCAGTCTGTATGCACTGAGAGCTGCAGTCCTCTTGATAAAAATATGCAAGGATAGCAGGTCAAGCATAGCTTCCATTGCTGACGGTGATAGAGTAGAATTTTCCCTAGGGAGCGCTCCCCGATGGAGACAAGAAGTTCATATTCTTGAGCAAGAGGGAGGCAGCGTGTTATCAAAGCTGACGACCAATCAGAAACGATCATTTTCTGACATTCTGACATCCTACAGACAAGGTGAAGGTTGAAGATGAACATCGAATGTTAAATGTAATTTTTTCCAAGTTATTATTCGTGATTCGTTAATTATTGTCGAATTGCTCATGAGGTGAAAATTACATCTCATCAGCCAAAGATATAGGTAGTTGATGTGACATACCTTAGTCTCTACAGTGAGAGCAGAGGCTCTTGTGGGTGCTTATGAGGATTCACAATGTTAATGAGTTGCCTCGTTAAACCATTTGTTAGTTGAAATATTTTTAAAATAATGGTTTTAATGTCTGATCAGACAACTCAGAAGGGTTTTGATTGAAAATATAACCACACCTACGTCATTTTGTAGTTCAGCATCCAGAATATCTTCATTTATTTGGTCCCATATAATTGCATTCGCCATGTCCATGTTCAAGCACGAAAATAAGTTTTTTGAATCCAATGCACAATCGAAATCCCACGAAATATGAAAATAAAAAGCTAAACTTTAATCACTGATGAGACTGATAAGGGAGCTGTCATATTTTCATTCAATTTAATGGCAGGAAGCGTTCCCGGTTTGGTTCTCTTAAAAATCTTGATATATCCATTAGTGAATCCCTAGGGATTGCTCTTCTTTCTCTCGATTGTCGACAAGTGGCAGGTGTAAAAAACGTTATTCTACCTAATTGGTGCAAATATACTCAAGAACTGTGAAAAACCCAACATCGAGTTACACGCTGACAAAAGCAATAATTCACATGGCCAGGACTTTTCCACATCAGGCAGTTCGAGAACCGACGAAGAACTCTAATTTTGCATAATATGCAAATTTGGCCAAAGAATATCTAGGAACGCTCCAGAAAATGTTGTTTGCAAACTTCAGATTCAGATTCAGCACCCACAAAAACTTATAAAACCACAGAGAACCGAATACTTGAATTTTACTGAGCTATTAGAAATGAACCTAAAAACCAAGTTCGTTTTCAATACTCCCATAAAATTGACAATATTCCCGACTTTTATCATCATCCTCAGTGCTCAACTCAGGTACAAGAAGTGATCTGTACGGAGGCTTTCAAGAGATAAGACATAATGTGTGTATAAGTGGAGTAAGGAAATAGTATTACATAGTTAAGATCGCGAATCAGCATTTGAAGTCTGATACTCATACACACATAGGTACCGGGTGATTTTCAAGGTGACTCACACCTATTACTTTTTCATTATTGAAGATATGAACTTTTTTGACATATCTACTTGCTTAACAGTACCACCGGTTTGACCGGAAGTGACCGCAACTTTCGATATTCAAATGTGATACTCTGTATTTTATTCCATACTTGGTAAGAGATTATCATAACAATTTCAAAAATACCGTGTTTGATAGGGTTATTTCAAACGATTACGAAGATCTTTGCATTCCAAATTTCTATATGCTAAATGATTGTGACAGAAAAAGAAGTTTCGATATTGCGGCGTCACACTCATTGACCATATGGAAACTTCAAATGCAAATATCTTCGTAATAGTTTGAAATTACCCTATCAAACCTGGTATCGTTGAATTCGTTATGATAATCCCTAACCGATTATGGTTATATACAGGGTGCCCCATTTGAGAATCGGAAGTTCGGCAACATTTAAGAATCAGAAGTAGGGCAAAGTAAGTAGATATGCCAAAAAATGTAAATTGAACTATAATTCACAATCCCCCAAATTTCGTTTTACTACATTCAATAATAAAAAAGTTATGGGGGTGAGCCAATGTACCTGATTCAAAGCGCTGATAATGAGTAAAGTCGAAAGCGCTTTGGATACAATGATTTATACAGGAAATACAATATATTCTTCTCTTCCATTTCATACATGTACTCTGCTTGACCAACCTTCAGACCAGAGCCGGATTTAGAGGTCTGGAGGCCCTATAAAATTTACAAATTTCTCATTCAATAATTTTTTGCGGAACCAACTAAATTGTTTTAACATATACAGGGTGTCTCTTGAGCAGGTGTAAAAAAATCAGGAGCATGTAGCTGACATTCAAATAAGAAGAAAAGTTTGTATTAACATATGTCCGCAAGTTATTCATTCTGAGATACAGATTCAAATTTTGATTGATATTTCGGTTTTTTGTGAATGAATTCCAAAATAATCGTGATATTCGGGTGAGATACCAAATTTCACTTTAATATCACGTTCATTTCTGAATTTACACACAAAAAACAGCAAAAAGAATCAAACTTTGACAATTTGTATCTCAGAAATAAATAACTAGCGGACATACGTTTATAGGAACTTTTCTTCTCATTTTGACGTCAGCAACATGCGTAATTAAGAAACACCCAGTAGAAATATTGTCAAAAACAAGAATTATATGAAGCCTATTTTTCTCCAGTGCAATTCGATGTTATCAAAACCAAATACATTCTCAGTGCAATATCAATGTTCGATAATGTAATTCTTGAACTTTCATCTTCAAGAATGTCATATTAAAATACCTTAGTAGATTGGTTTCTTCCATAGTCCTCTATAATGAAAACGAGGCAATGAACAACCACCTTCTGAGGCAACGGACAAGTATTGCCCCACTCAGCTATTGGGATACTCTATCAAGATGGGTAGTAAATGGCAACAACTGCTTATCAGGGCCATTTTGACAAATTGATATTTTCAGATTGGAGTGAACAAATATAATTAAATTATTTTTCAATATTTAAGAATAATATAATCATGTTTCTACAAAGTACTAATGGTTAAACAACGAACTTAACTTTTCCATAACAAATATTGAAGGAAAAGTTGTTCACTAGTGTTTACCTGTTGAAAGATTTTTTTCTCTATAGTAGGGGCCCCTTTTTTGTGGAGGCCCCGGGGCCCTAAATCCGGCACTGCTTCAGACATAGTGATTTTCCATAACACTATGAATCACCTCAAACCAAAAATATAATATTGAATAAAAAACTCACTTGATTTGCCTTTATGATGGACTTTTGAAGATTCGTCGTATTTTCAAACAATGCTTCATTATTCTCAGAAGATTCCAGTATGTTCATTATTTTGGTCAATAGTTCTTCCAAAGATTCCTGCAACACTTTTGTTTTCGTAGAATTCAGATTAGTAGTCACAACTGATTCCCAGGTTTTGAGGTTTTTACCGAATGTAACGAAATCTTGTTGGGCTATCAACTTATCCTGAAATATAAGAGTTAGTCGGTATTCCAAGAATCAAAAAATCTCCACTCACAGATATGTTCAACAAATCTGACATGAAAACTTGAAACTGGTCATTTGGGATATGCCCAACTATCAGCAAAATCAATTGGGAGTACTCCTCAAATCTGGAATAAACAGAGTCATCTTCCTTGAATGCGTTCCATATTTTCAAGGGAAAATCATCATCGATGTTTTTCAGTTTTGACTTGTTCTGTAGAACTGTGATCAACAATGACAAACATCCAAATTTATCGTAACAATTTCTATTTGTCAAGATTAAATTCAGGTATGAATCCAGGGTATTCGACAGCTCAGTTATTTTTTCATCATCATTTTGTGATAAATAGTTTTTCATAATATATGCATAACCTGCGAGTAATGTAACATTTGGCGTTTCCTCTGAAACCAATTTAGAAATTTTGTCGCAAATATTATTTTTCATATTTTCTCCTGTAATTTTCGTTTCTTTGGGCAACTTGGATTTTTTCAACTGAAAATAAAGTCTGTTATTAGTAGCCAAAAAGGTAGTTTATGTGCTACTAAATAAATATTAATACATGAAGAATACAGAAGACCATTCTAGCGTTGCTCAGCTGTTGAAAAATATAGTATCCTGTCTCTCATAACAATTTTTTGTTTTACCTTGTTTAATGCATTCAAAATAATTATACTGCATTCCATATAAGATGGATCATATAACTTTTGTGTTACTTCCAAAGTCAGGGCTTCACATGAAGTGAGAAAATCTTTTTGTTTCAACATATTTTCAATTAAGTTCGAAACAGCTTCTTCCCAGTTCATGAAAGTATCCAATATAACAGAGGCAACTATCTCCATTTTGAAAATGTCTGCCAGTTTGAATTTACAATGCTGCAAAATACCTAGAAATTAAATTAATACATTCCTCTATACTGGCCAGAGAATAAAGAAAACAATCCCTATACTTGAGGCTTCGCAAAAATTTTCGTTCAGATATTCAATATACCCGAAATTACATAGATAGATTCCAAAGATTTTAGGAACAAAAATAATACACCCTGAACGAAATTTTTGACTTGACTACGTAGAGGAATGGTTCTACTAAAACAATAACAAAAGTAAAATTGAAATTTTGAATTTTACTCACCAATAATAATATTTTCAAGTCTCACTTGAAGCAATGTATAATCACCTCTACTGAAATGAACGGAAAAATCTTTGTATAGAGATAATAAGTACAATAGGAACATTCTCTGTATATCTTCAGAACAGAAAATAATGGGATATGTGACGAGAATTTCAAAGAGATTCAAAAGTTTTTCCTCGTTAATCTTGATTTCCTCATGGATTTCTTTTCTGTTCTCACACGTCTCATTATGAATTCTCATAGCTTTTTCAATAGAGTTCTGATTATCTCCACACAATATAATATTTTCATCAAAAGCATCACAAATACTAGTACTTGATCTATTCATAATGATTTCTTCATTATGTTTTCTTTTCCTTTTAGAAACCAATTTATTAATCCTCTTAATCCCCACGAATACAATAGCATTCAAAATAATGGAAAAATCAGAGAGATGTTGGTTCCTTTGAAATTCTTTCAAAGTATTTTTATCATCTATCATCTTCTCAGTTAAAAGTATCACAGAAGAAGCTTCCATTCTTGGCAACAGGATGGTGAGAAGAAATTTGTCTTCTAGTATATATTTCCAACAGTAGTCCAAATCTGTATTGATGTTTTTCAACAAATTCGATATTATATTGTCATTCACTCCACCAGTAAAAAGATGTAAGGCTCTCAATCTTTGAATATACATCTTGTACTGAAAATTATTGAATTATATTATATCTCTTATTGGTATCATTTGGAATTATTGTAAAATCACAATTTTATCCAGTGGAATTTGCCCAATATAACAATTTTGATAATTTATCGTCAGCGTTCACATATTCATTATTTTGTAGCAATTTCCACGAATAAATAGAACTTTGATTCACGTGTGAGTCGAATGACATTGATATTATATACAGGTTGTTTCCGCAATAGGAGAAATGAAGAAAGTGATTGAAAAATATACGAAATTTCCGCCGAAAAAATAATATTTTGGATGATATTGAATTTTAAAGTTCACTTGAAATTTTTGTGAATAATTTATTAGAATAAATACAAAAAGCTCGAAGTCATTTCCACACAATGTTCATAAAATGAACAAAAATGGTAGATTTCGGGAGAAAAACAACTACTTTCCTGGCTAATGCCACGCAGAACATTCAATTACATCCTCCCGAAATCTATACATCGACTCCTGTAAACGAATACTGATACAAGTGATTCTTTCCTGAATGCCTATTGATTTCGATTCAGCCAGGCCACTCTAGACACCCACAGACTGGTTTCGAGCTTCTTAACTCTCATCAGTGCAGGGTAGTCTCCAGCCAGCAGTCCTAAGACCGCCGACTCAGTGCAGCCTAGCCAAACATAAATCAACTAGGCAATATATTCACCCAGAGGCGTCTTTCATCGACTATATGAAAGCAACGCCATCTGAGTAGAACAAAACATTGTGGGAAATGAGAATTTGAAAAAATCTTAAATTTGTATTCTTGCGATTCATCCCTCCAATTTCGGAAACACCTACCATATCGATCCAAAAACACTTTCTACTTGTTTGTTATTATACTTACAGCCAACACCAGAGACAAGACATAAGAAATTTGAAATTTGGCAAGATCTCAGGTCATTTTGAAGTGTATATATTTTGACAGTAGTCAGTCTAGGGTTTTTGAAGTATTTTTCCAAATTTATAATAGGGTTTGGCATTTATTCGCGGGAATCAATATTACCAGGTGGCGCTCGATTTTCATCGTTCCATGTCAAATCCACGTCAAAACTGGGGGAAAACAAACTCGATCCTCACTCAATCCCATTAGTGCCATTAGCTTATGTACTGTGTACTGACAAGAGTGAAAAGTTTTCAAATTTCTTGACATAAATTGTCAATATTCGATCGAAAACGCCTGTTGTAGATGTTCTTTTGGCAGCTGATATTTTGCTCTATTTAGATGGAAAAAGCCGACCAGTAGTGGAAGGAGAAGCAGTTCTCCGTGCTAATCATGTGATTTTGTGTGAGGCAGAAGACTTCAACAAAAGGCACATTTTTGCACTTTGTCGTCAAACTTCGGCGATGAAATCTTCCCCACATGATGTAAAATTTAAGTTTGGGTCCAGAGGAACTCCTGTAGAACAATGGATTTGTATTTGTTCCTGCGAAGCAGGGCAATCTGGGTATTGTAAACATGTTTTAGCTGTTCTTTTATATGTCAATTTATTTGCTCGTCATAATTAGTTTGAATTGTTTGAACTATCTCCAATTCTTCACCCGTTCACTGTTCACTGAACTAATAAAAATGTAATAATGTAAAAAAATTAACCAACTCAACCATCATCACTACCAACAGTGCCAACACTGTATGTTATTGACAAGTTTGACTACAGCTACAGCAAGCTGAATGCAATGTAGTCTATGCACTTTATCCATAGACAACAGTTTGTTTTCTCCCAGTTTGAAGTTCGTACTATGTAACCTAGATGTCGCCCACTTCGTGAATCTCGCGAATATGTTTTACATTATCCTTCGAAACGTCTCGATTATTACTCTCAATTCACCAGTGGCGCCTCAATAAATAGTTCAGTATCAGATTACTCGAAAAAATAACACCCAATATACCTATACTATCCATTCAGGAATATTCAGTATGATGTGAATGTTATGGAATGAATTCATTATTTAAAAAATATGCGTCATTTGGAAAAAAAGACACGTAAGTATTGATTTTTGGAGCCCCATCTCATGATATTCATATGAAAGATCTTACGTGGTTTTTTTAATCTCTTGGAGCGGACGAAAGGAAATTCCTATAATGTTCGTGAAACATCGCGCGTACTTAGAGGGCGGGCAGGAACTTTTGGAGGTGAGTTCTTAGGAATACATCCATTGGCAAATAATTCCAAAGCTTCGCTGTTCTATAGACGAACGAGTTTTGGTGTTGTTCGACATTATTCAAGGTTAACGACGAAGGGATGTGCTGACTGGGCCTTTCAAGTTTCTCTGACTGGTATTGCTAGTGATGGAATTATAGCAGATATATCTGAGGAACATTTCCCGTGGAAGTTTCTATAGGGCATCAGCGTATGTTTGGGTGCTGAACCCCATACATGATAACAGTATTTATTCTAAAACTTGCCGTATCTATGCTTTGTAGATCATCAGAAGCTGTTGTGGTGTAAAGTAGATTTTTGCACGGAACAAGAATCCGAGTTTTTGTGAAGTAGTTTTTGCGATGGATCGAACATGATTTTCCCATGAGAGAGTATTGCTGATGGTAATACCGAGCATAGATATGAGTGATCTTGGTGGGAATAATGGTTCCATACATTGTTATATCAGGCATACTGAGTTCCGCCTTTCTAGAGAAAATATAGGCTTGCGTTTTGGTAGCGTTGAATTCAACTAGGTTGTTGGGTCCCAGGCTGTAATTTGCGCAAGATCTTCATTGACAGCGTTGGCCTGCCTTCGCCGCAAGTTCTTAGTATACTGGGAGGAAATGGGAATTGTAGAAAAGAACGAAGTATGGAGGCTCCCAATAGATCCTTGATATGAAGTCGGAACAATGTTGGTGTCAAGATTGATCTTTGTGGAACGCCGGATTTGATGACAATGGTATCAGACGTTACTCCGTCCACTGCCACAGGGAGCGATCTGCCTGAAGAAAAACTTGATGATGGCAAAGATGGCATAGCTGAGGTGGTGAGCCCTATGATTGTAGTTTATATTGGAGCAGTCCTTCGTGCCAAACACGGTCGAATGCCTTCGATATATCTAGCGCTACAGCTAGAGATTCCCCATATTTTTCTAATGAAGTTTGCCATACATGGATGACGTAGGCAAGTAAATCTCCAGTTGAACTACTGTGAGACAGATGCACCGCCAGAATGATCTTAGCCGTGTGGCGGTCGGACTAGAATAAACCCAGTAGATCCTTCTGTGACCACTGCTTACACTATTTCTGTTCGTAAGCTGAACTAAATAGATGAACATGCTGAGGATTGTATACGAATGAATGAGACCTCTATAAAATGCCCGAGGAAGAAAAAACCCTCACAATCAAAAACTTCAAAAATAAAGGAAATATCCCATTCATAGTATATGCTGATCTTGAGTATGTTTTGAAGAATACTGTGGATCCTAAGAAGCCGCAGCACCACGTTCCAGCTGTCGTTGGATCGCTCATATCGCAGGAAGGACTGTATGGCATGGTTTGCTGATGAGTTCGAACAGTTGGCTGAGGATATGGCTACAGTTTTTTGGTGTGATTATGATATGGATATAACATCAGAACAGGAAGCAGAATTCCGGAAATCCACACATTTCTGAGCGACCTTTCACCATCGTTGACAAGAGTTCGCGACCATAATTACCAGATTCCTGAAAACAACTACATCCCATGAGAGCTGCATCTTTCGATGGCAGGATAGCCATGTGGTGTCTGCCCAGCAAACATTGAACTAGCGGGAGAAGTCCGGCCTAGTGCAGGCTAGTCTGGGAAAGTGACGATGCCGGGGTATTGGTAATGGGCCGATGATTTTCTTATGCCAAGTAACCATCAGTTAAAAATACGATGATGGCCTTGTGATGGTAAGATGTCTGGAACTAATTGAATAATTACGAGATCTGGCCCTTTGCTGGCCAATTTCATGTTCGCTACTCGTCCCCCTGGTGGTAGTTCTGGGAACGTCTACATCAACAATCAGCTGATCAATATTAAATGTGACTAAGATGGCTGACTCTCGTGAGTGGTGATCGCGTACTGGTTTGTTTATGTCGAATTAATGTGGTCCTCTCTTTCCCTGGTGGTTATTTATGATGGCAGGAGTAATTTCTCAATTGATAATAATAGAAGACGGATTCTTTGACTATGATAATATTGAGTAAGTATCAATCTACCTACATAGTGTTTAGAATTTCATCATTAAATGCATGTGTTTGGTATCTCGTAACTTCATACACCTAATGATCATATTAATTGCAGTGGGCTATACTTATCCAAAAGCAACTATCATTTTTAACTCGTTTGTTGCTATCAAAAGTAATTCTAGGTTATGTGAACCTATATATCTCAATACTAAATAACAATAAAATTTCAGCTACAGAAATACCTGTGCCAAGAAAATTATGAGAATTGGAAAGCTCCATATTATCAAGTCATCAGACTATATTATCAAGTTATAAACTCATGCAACTCATAGGCCACTAAATGAACAAATGATGCATTTGATATTTCAGAAGTACCTCATAACTAAGAATCGACTTCGAAGGAATGCTACCCAATAAGATGTAGATACCATACCACATACCAACCACTAAGCAGTCACATCGTTGAAGAACAGAGAGGTTAGGAAGATATCATTGTGTCATTCATAAAATTGTTTTCTTGAAATCTGATATGATCAGAGGGTTATATTGTGAAATAAATAAGTACTAGAACTTTCAGATTCAATGGACCCCTAAAACCTCTACCCCTCCCCTACCTCGATAGTATGTAACCAATGTCGTTAATTGGCCATTACAGTCCCATCATTTATGTATATGCTGGGCTTGCTATGGGAAATTCAATGTGTCGATTATGTTGTACTGGCCTTTTGCCGGGGAACTGAATATGTCTGCTGGGAACCCAGCACTGGGACCAGCTGCCGGCCGCAGTGTACTGATATATAGAGTCCCGCATATGGGACCATTTACTAGGCCGCTGATGTCAGGTATGG